TGCCGTCACCACCAGGGGGCACCCTTGGACCACTTTGCTAACTTCAGACAACCAACACGGTTCTGTGAAGCTGAAACTGCCCCTGCTCAGAGGCTAATTATACCAGTGCTGACCACTGCCTTTTATTCTGTATTGGTCTTTAAAAGTAACAACAAATTCAGTAGTGAGAGAGACAGGCAGACTGATTCAAACCCAGGCTGTCTGCACAGTAGCATAGGGTTGTGTTTGTTGTTTTTATGCCTAATTACTGAACCTTTTTCCCCATTGCCTCAGCAAGGGGTTTATTCTTTCCATCTTTTTGTTGATTCTTTCCATCCTGATGTCTGTTTTTCCATCTTCCTCTTGTTTTTTGCCCATTTTCATGTTTGTTTTCCATCTCCATGTTGGTATTTCAATCTTCTTGTTGTTTTTTCCCTCTTGAGATTGTTCTTTTAATCTCCATGTCATTTTTTCATTATCATGTTGTTTTAATCATCCTTGTGTTGCTTGATTTTCCATAATTATGTTAGTCTTCATTTGTTGAGCTTTGCTAAACTTTGAAAACGTCCTAAGTTCACTTGCTGTTGCTACGCTGGAATCTAACAGAAGCTGATCCTAAATGTTTAATCAAAGTGGAAATGATTCCACTGCAGTGAATGTTGCAGCTGACTATTCCCTTTTCCTTCTCCCAGGTGGTGAAGCTAAAGCTGTTTTCCTCCCTGAATCTGAGTGAATTAGCTGTGCAGGAGAAGGTGCAGCAGGAGGTCAGTCTGCTCCTGCAAACATCCCTGAAACAGGAGGAATTACCAACTAAAATGTCATGATGCTTTGCTTTGTAAAGTAACAGGACATTGGCTGTCGGCTCTGAAATTTGAAAAGTTTACAGGGATCGTGTTTTCAAGGACTGTCCAGGCCTCGTTTGCATGAGCTAAAGCACCAAACCACTTGTTTTCTTTTCATTCAAACACAATTCATGTCTGGATCTGAAATCCAGGAGTCCTGAAGAAGCCGTCTCAGGGATCCAGTGTGATTTTTCTCTGACTTCAAACAGAAAATGGAGGAGATGGCAGTGAAAGGAGATTTAAGCTGAGCTAAGAGGAGCCGTCAGATGGGAAAACCCTCCACAGGGATGAGGCAAGGAAGAAGACCCCAGAAAAGATGGACAAACTTTAATTATTTCATTTATTTATAATTTGATATTCATCCTGTTGGAATATGCTGTCTGTTTAAGAGAAAAGTTTTCAAACCAAGTGTCCTGGAAGCATCTGAAATCCCTCTGTGACACCATGGTGCCCGTTTAAAACAAGGGTCAGACCCCTGTTCTCGCCTTTAGCAGAACCGCTCCGGGTTCTGGTTCTGGAGGTGACGTAAGGCTCAACACACTCTGATCTTCTCCCTTTGGGATTGTCTTTTATCCCTCAGTTTTCTTATATTTTCTACAGATTCAGTTCAATCAATCAATCCATCAATCACTTTATTTTGGTAAATTGTCCACATTAAACACAAGAAACAACAAAAGAAAAAAAGAAAAGAACAATAGACAAACCCACAGTTTACCAAAAAAGGAATAGGCCGAAGCAAAGCTTATTCTTGCCTATCCTATTTTTTACCTTACAACCTACCAGGATTTCTTCAAATTCAGATTCAAGTACATAGTACATATATAGATCTACATAACAGCGTAAGATTTTATCATTTTACATTTTAAAGCTCTTTTAAAGTTCACCAAGAAAGGACATAACTTAAATTCATCATTCAATTCATTCCACAGTTTCACACCAATAACTGAAACACATCTAGACTTTATCTGACTTTTCTCTTTTGCACATTCAAATATAAACAAACCTCGCAAATTGTATTTATTTTCTCTTAACTTAAATCATTTCTGAATACCAGAAGGAAGACTTTTATTCAATGCTTTATACATTATTTCCAGTATTTTTGTTGGCAAAGAGGAAACTCTTTCTTTAAAAAGGGTTAGAAATTTTATGGAGAAATTCTCATAATGTCTTTCTCTTTGTGACGGCCATTCAGGAATGTTTCTCATTGAACAAATAGAAAAGTGAAACAGGTTGAAGGAGGAAAAACCGGGACAACTTAGGACCTCTATGGGGGAATCAATCAATCAAAATGTATTTATATAGCACTTTGCAACAACTAACAGGTATCCAAAGTGCTTAACAAAATGAGTACAATCACATTATACAATAGAAAAAGTCAAAATAGAAAACAGTCAAATCAGAAAAGGTTACACAGAAACAAAATAATTAAATTGTCACACCAGTTTGAGTTTGGAGATAAAAAGAGAGATATCTGTAATATCAGAGGGTAACTTGTTCCTGAGTCTCGGGGAAAAAAAAAAAAAGCCTGATTACCTCACTGTCAGAACGAGACTCAAACATGACTCAGTTTCAGAGATCTCATGCAAAAACTTTAATGGAAATAAAGGTGCACTCACACGGTGGAAGACAAGGCAAAGTACCAAAATAATAGTCACTCTAAAGAACAATAATGTCATAAAAGGCTAACAAGTCCAAAATAATAATCACTCTGAAAAGAGGCTGTCAAAGGCTATAAAGTACAAAAAAACAACGCTCGATAACGAGGATGCAAAAGCTACTACTGTACGAAATTAAACTCACTTAGACGAGGCATAGCAAGGGAAGGTTCAAGACAAAGCTTGGGTCGAAGACAAGGATAAACACTCAGTATTGGTCAAAAGACGAAACACACTGGCACAAGACATGGAGAACACAGACTATTTAACACATGAGGGGAAGAGAACTCCAGGTGAACACACATCGGTGATCAGGGAACACAATCAGACAGATGACACACAGGGAAGTGCAAGTGACCTGAAACGAGAGGCGTTACCTATCAAAATTAAACAGGAAATTACATGGTAACCATGGAGACAGGACAAAAACCCCCACTAGACCTCACCACTGACAACCACCATTTATACCTTGACCTTGGGACTTCTAAAACCAACTGATTACAAGACCGCAATGACCAGTTGTACTTCCACAAAGTTTGATTTTCAGACAAA